TGCACAGATTCCACCTCTTTATTCACCACGAGTCCTTACCCTGACACTAACGTCCGCCCACAGTTTCTGTACGAGGAACAATGGGTGCAGTGACAGCTCCTACCCCAAATCATGCTACACACCAGTAAAATATCGGAATTCTCCATCACAGTCCTCACAAATGAGGGAGAATAGGAGAGGAAGAGGAGAAGGGCAGATAGGGACTGTCGTCACACCTCATGTTCAGACAGATGCTCCTGCCTGATTATGGTGACCACATGGATGGTGGAATATGAGCTCTTTTCTCATCAGCCACGACCTAGAGTCAAAGTCTTAGGTGGTGGGGGAGGGGAGAAAAGGCCCAACCAGTGTCTGTCTGTTTCTTTCTCTTCCCTTCCCCCTAATCCCTCTGAGAAGGAGGTCATTTTTTGTTTGTTTGTTTGTTTCATTTTGTTTTTTGTTTTTTTACTCTCTGAGATGCAAAATCCTCTTTCTGAAATGACGAAAGTAATCCTTTCTTGTCAGGGTAAAGATTAGGCGAAATCACGTATACAAAGGACAAAACCTAGTATTAGACCCCACCCTAGCCCCTAGCCCCTAGCCTCAAGCCCACCCTACCTCCACAGCTACAAACTCTTCCATACGTTTTTTGAAGGTGGGTTCTTCAGTCGGCCTTCCCTCAACAGTTTCCTGAAGCTCAAAGCTTACCTCAGAAAAGCTCACACTGATAGGGACCTACCTCCATAACTCAACAGTCAATGACCCCCAGATGAGCTATCTTCCCAAATAGATCACAGTCTTGTTCAAGTACATGATAGGCCACATGCAGACAGTGGTGCTCTGCTGTTCTTTCCACTAGATTCTTCTACCTCCAGCCTTGAAAGTAACCTTCTCCAGAAAATCTTCTCTGACCTCCTTCCTCATAAATCCTTCAAATAAAAATTTTTAATGTTTATTTATCTTTGAAGGAGAGAGAGACAGACACAGCATGAGCGGGGGAGGAGCAGAGAGAGCGGTTGACACAGAACCGCTCACAGAACCACAGAAGTGGGTTCCAGGCTCTGAGCTGTCAGCAGACACAGGGCTCAAACTCACAAACTGTGAGATCATGACCTGAGCCGAAGTCGGACACTCAACCATCCAGGCGCCCCTTTCATAATCCTTCATTTAGTTTCCCTCTGTACCTCTGCTATATTTCATTCATTCATTCATTCATTCATTCATTCATTCATTCATTCATCTGGTCAGGAAAAGACTAACCATGTCAGGACTGGTTTGAAGGAACAAACAGGCAAGGTCTTCACTCCTGGAGCTGCCAATCTCATGAGGGGAAGACAGTAAAAATTCAATACGCAACGTATCAGGTGGAGAAAAATGCCAAGAGGCAAAACGAAAAAGGCAAACAAGGGTATTGCTGTTTGGGTGGGATAGTCAGGAAGACCTCACTGAGGTCGTGTCTGAGCAGAAACATGAAGAAATGAGTGTGCAGGCCAGCAGGATAACTGGGAAGATATCCAGGCAGTGTCTTTTTTTCCAGAAGGGCAGGGGTCTTGTGTTACTCAGTTTCTCCACCACTGGGATAGGTGGAATTACGTCACTCCAAAACAGATATGCTAGAATCCTAACCCTCAGTACTTCAAAACGTGACCTTATTTGGAGATGGGATCTTTATAGAGATAATCAAGTTAAAGTGAGGTCATTAGGATAGGCTCGAAACCAATTTGACGGGTGTCCTCAAAAAAGGGGAAAGTTTAGAATTGTGCACACAGGACAACACCAGCTGGAGATAGAGGCAGAGATGGGGTGATGCCCAGAGAAGCAAAGGAACACTGAAGGTGGCCTACAAATGACCAAATCTAGGAGAGACACAGGGAATAGATTTCTCCGCCACAGCCCTCAGAACCAGCCCTGCCCACACCTTGATCTTGGACTTCGAGCCTCCAGAACCGTGACAACAAATTCCTGTTCTTTCAGCCTGAGCGGCATAAACAAAGTCTGTAGTACTTTCTTATGGCAGTGCTGGGAAGCCACGTCTCTCTGTGAAGGTCACACATAGACCATGTCCTTACCTGGGTTCAGAGGATAAACCCTTGGCTCCATGGGCTTGTGCATACCCCTGGATGACAGAGAGGACTGTAACTGCCCCTACATGGACTCCCTGCTTCTGGTCTTACTTTCGCAATCCATTCTCCACAGTACTGTCCTGATACCTCTGAAATAAAAACGCCTCACCTCACCGATTCACAAGCCTTCACTTGCATCTCCTCGTCTTCAGCACACAACCCAAATTTCTCAGCTTGGGAACCAAAGAGCACAGGATCGAGCCCCAGTTCACCCCTCCAACCTTGCCCTTCTCATCTCTGTCCCTTCCTGGGGTGGCCTAACCTCTACTCATCCTCGGGCCTCAATTTAGTCCCCACCTACACTGGGAAGCCTTCCCAAGCCCAAGGCCCCTGAAACAAGGTTAGGCGTCCCTCCTGGGTGCCTCCAGAAGCCCTTGTGCTGTTGCTGCATTTACTACAGCGTGCCCAAAACCCGTTTGTCCGTCTCTTCCTTTTGAACACTAGTGCCCATTCGCGTCGTTTCTCTAGGCGCTAAGAAAGTGCCTGGTGCTTAGGGCACCCTCACTGGACGGATGAATAAATGAACAAAGCATGCCACGTTTTGACCGGCTGGTCCCAGAACTCAATTTTTTTCCCTTTAAGGGGTGGGGGTGGGAAGGTGACCTTTGAAGAGATTTCCTAACAGTATGTGGAACCACCAGAGCTCGATGGGGCTGCACCTTTTCTTAATGGCTGCCAGAGGAATTTAGATTAGGCATTCAAGAGCTGACCCTTGTGTCGCAAGACAGTGCAGCCTGAGGAAGGGAAGTAAACAATCTATCTGACCATTTTTGAGTCTGGGGTTGACCGGAATTTTGGAGCCTTTTTTTTTTTTTTCTTTTTTCTTTTTTAATAGCGAGTGGCACTTTCAGGTTTCTTCCCAGCCTCTGATTCTGTAACCGCAAGACCATGACCTACAGGTAAAAGTGGTGGGTGGACAGGAGAAGAATTACTCCAACCAACAATGCAATGTGTTCTGTGCACAAGTCTCCAAGAAGTAAATCTTTTTGAGGTTTAAATATCATTGCACTCACAGTTACAAATGCTGAAGAGCCTGGAAAAGGACAGAGCAAAACACAGTAACAATGTTTAAATATGTATATATTTACATATATATTAAATATAAATGTATATATCTAACTAGAGGAAGACAGAGGGATAACAGATTCCCATAATGAGGATTCGCTCGCAATCCTCAGGATTTTTGCAAATTCCTGAAAGGGGAGACGTATCAGAATTTCCAGTCCTCAAAAAACAGGGCCTAAAAAAGTCTTGTGTGCAAGGGAGAAAAGGAGGGGTGGAGGGCGGGGGACTAGCTCTTCGCAGCAGGAAGTCTTCAATGGCTATCGAGTTATGAAGAAACAACTCCGAACAGAAGTCCTTATTCGGAGCGCTAAACTCGCTTTTACCACATAAAGAGCAATATAAAAAGCTCGGAGCAGCCTCATCATGGTGTTGGGGAAACAACTCGGCTTCCCCAAGTGAGAAAGCAAGAGAGCTCCGAGTGGTAGCCCAGACCGGCGTTAGGGTTTTTATTTGCAAGTCAATGAGCCAAATGGACGACCAGGCTACTTGTGCCGCGTTCTGGGAAGCAAGGTTATTATTATCGCCTATTGCCCCACTGAACAATTTCACTGAAAAGGAAGAGTCCCAGCAGTGTGTGTGCGCACGGTGCCACACGGGACGTGCAGCTACGTGCCCACCTCCAGAACGACTTTATTTACAAAGCGATTACCATGTTATCTATTTGTTTTCCTTTTCCAGCAACAGCAGCTTGACTCAGCCCTCGAATTTCTTAATTACAAACCCGTTCGCTTCTGAATCAACCCCAAATCGTCAGGCAGAGCCCGGAGGGAGGCTGTGCAAGTTTGCACACACCCCCACCTCCCGGATCAAGGGCAACAGCAGAAGCAAGAAACTGTGTATGTGCAAAAAGGTGGATCTGGGGACGAGGATCGCTGAGTTTGTTTACAGAGCAGAGACGCCTCAGCTCGGATGCCAAAGCTACCAAGAGCTGCAAACGCAAACTTAGCAGAAGCACACGTACCCCGGGAGCGGCGAGTGGGCCCGAAAGCGCGGACCGGACTCCAGGGCGCGGGAGCGGAGGCGGCCGGGCCCGCGGGCGCGCTCCGTCCACCTGCAGCCGCTGCCGCTCCCCGCCCCCAGCTCCTGTCCTTGAAAGGAGTGGGGGTAAAAAAAAAAAAAAAAAAAAAAAAAAAAAAATGCATCTACACTCAGAATAACTAGATCAGGTTTACCCAGTGTCCCTATCAAAACACAAAGGCACAGCCCGGGAAAGTGTGCTCGGGGAAGGGGCATTATTTGTCCGGGTATTTAAAACCCCACTCGGGGAAACACAGCCTTTCTTCGCAGCCCGGGGGAGAGGGGCGGACGGTTTGCAAAGCCGGGGGGGCAGAAGGGCACTGTGCAGGAAGGGCACTATGCAGGGCACCCCCTTTGCCCGTAGAAGGCAGCCGGCCCAGCTCGCTAGGTGAGCCGACGGAGTGCTGCGGGAGGGGGGATCCGGCCCGAGGGGTGCATTCCGTTTTCCTCGCTCTTCTCGGGGCAGGCGCTACTTCGGGGCTAGAAGTGCAGGGGGCATTTTCTTCCCGCTCCGAGGGCGACCAGGCTGGCCGGGGGTGTGTGGGCAGGGAGGAGACCAGAGTCCGGCGGCACTGAGGCGGCGCCTGGGCCCGCAGCCTCTGCGCACGTGCCTCTGGCCGCGGGGACGCGGCTCCGCTACCCGGTCCCGCGTGCCCGGGGCTCCGGTGTCCGCGTTTTGCCGCCGCCCCGCCCGGGAGGCTCTAGCTCCGCCCTTCCTGAATCCCTTAAATTAACTGTGGCCAAAGCCCTAAGAAACACAGCTCATTGTTGGCAGCTGCCGGGCGGTCTTACCGAGCTGTGAGGGCAGCGGAGGGGACATAAAAGGGAACGGCTCCGATTCTGCTCCGGCGGCTGCTGCAAGAGCTCTGCGCCGACGTCGCGACCGCGAGCGCCCTGCACCCCGGGAAGGCCCCCTCTATGTGCGGCTGAGCCGGTCCCGGACCCGACGATCCCGCCCTCGGTCTTCGGAGCAGAAATCGCAAAGACGGAAGGTAAGCGCGGCGGGCGAAGCTGGCTGGGGCGCCTGCCAGCCCAGTCCTCCGAGGGCTGGGTTTGCCCGGAGGAAGAGCGTGAGGCGGAGCTGGGGAATAACAACAGGATGTGCAACAACAGGATGAGGAGGGCTGATTTAATGCCTGAAGTTCGCGGCACGGCTACGGGGCACTTCCTTTATTAGGCGACTTCGGGGAGCAGAGGGGGGTGTGGGCACGGGTCCGCCCGCCCGACCGCAGGGGAGCGGGCTGTTTGTTCGGCGCCCAGCTCTGTGGCGGGTGGCAGGTCCGCCGCCGTGGCGAGCCCCGGGTGCACGGGCTGCTAGCAGGAGCCTGGGGTTAGTTAGTGGTTCGCAGCCGACGTGCGTCCGGGGAGCCCAGGGGACACAGGCAAGAAAAAGTGGGGTGCGCCTTGGTGGGCGGCACGTGTGGCGCGAGTCTTACCGTCTGCCCTTTTCACTTTCAGGACTGGAAATGGCAGACCATATGATGGCCATGAACCACGGGCGCTTCCCCGACGGCACCAACGGGCTGCACCACCACCCTGCCCATCGCATGGGCATGGGACAGTTCCCGAGCCCCCATCACCACCAGCAGCAGCAGCCCCAACACGCCTTCAACGCCCTCATGGGCGAGCACATACACTACGGCGCGGGCAACATGAATGCCACGAGCGGCATCAGGCATGCGATGGGGCCGGGGACTGTGAACGGAGGGCACCCCCCGAGCGCGCTGGCCCCCGCGGCCAGGTTCAACAACTCCCAGTTCATGGGCCCCCCGGTGGCCAGCCAGGGAGGCTCCCTGCCGGCCAGCATGCAGCTGCAGAAGCTCAACAACCAGTATTTCAACCATCATCCCTACCCCCACAACCACTACATGCCGGATTTGCACCCCGCTGCAGGCCACCAGATGAACGGGACAAACCAGCACTTCCGAGATTGCAACCCCAAGCACAGCGGCGGCAGCAGCACCCCCGGCGGCTCCGGCGGCAGCAGCACCCCCGGCGGCTCCGGCGGCACCTCGGGTGGCGGCGCGGGCAGCGGTAGCGGCGGCGGCTCCGGCGGCGGCAGCAGCAGCAACATGCCCGCCTCCGTGGCCCACGTCCCTGCTGCAATGCTGCCGCCCAATGTCATAGACACTGATTTCATCGACGAGGAAGTGCTTATGTCCTTAGTGATAGAAATGGGTTTGGACCGCATCAAGGAGCTGCCCGAACTCTGGCTGGGGCAAAACGAGTTTGATTTTATGACGGACTTCGTGTGCAAACAGCAGCCCAGCAGAGTAAGCTGTTGACTTGATCGAAACCCCGGCGAAAAGAAATCAAACCCCCAACTTCGGTGTGAATTAAAAAAAAACAAAAAAAAAAAAAAAGAAAAGAAACAAAAAAAAACATTCCCTTAGACACAGTATCTCGCTTTTCAGATCTTGAAAGGTTTGAGAACTTGGAAACAAAGTAAACTATAAACTTGTACAAATTGGTTTAAAAAATTGCTGCCACTTTTTTTTTTTCCTGTTTTTGTTTCGTTTTGTAGCCTTGACATTCACCTCCCTTATGTAGTTGAAATATCTAGCTAACTTGGTCTTTTTTGTTGTTTGTTTTTACTCCTTATTTCCTCACTTTCTCCAGTGCTCAACTGTTAGATATTAATCTTGGCAAACTGCTTAATCTTGTGGATTTTGTAGATGGTTTCAAATGACTGAGTTGCATTCAGATTGACGAGTGAAAGGAAAAATTGCATTAGTTGGTTGCATGAACTTTGAAGGGCAGATATTACTGCACAAACTCTGCCATCTCGCTTCGTTTTTTTAACTATGCATTTGAGTACAGACTAATTTTTTAAATATGCTAAACTGGAAGATTAAACAGATGTGGGCCAAACCGTCTGGATCAGGAAAAGTCATACTGTTCACTTTCAAGTTGGCTGTCCCCTCCCCCATATGTACAGACAATAATAAGGTGTGGAATGTCGTCAGTGGCAAACATTTCACAGATTTTTATTTTGTTTCTGTCTTCAACATTTTTGACACTGTGCTAATAGTTCTATTCAGTACATGAAAAGATACTACTGTGTTGAAAGCTTTTTAGGAAATTTTGACAGTATTTTTGTACAAAACATTTTTTTGAGAAAATACTTGTTAATTTATTCTATTTTAATTTGCCAATGTCAATAAAAAGTTAAGAAATACTTGTTTTCTAGAAGTCATTTGGGGGGTGGCTGCTCCTTTTGGTGGCTTTTTCTCTCTTGAAGTTGAACACTTTATTGATGAGAGTAAGCATTCCAAAGGATAAATTACAGGACACTAAAAACAGGTCATGATGAGCTTAAGTGGAGAGCAGGATTTAACATAATTGGCATAATACTTCATTGTTATCATTGTAACGTGCCTCTTGGTGTGGTTTAATCAGAAGCTGCAAAGTTGTCAAAGAGCATTTTTTTTCTTAATTGCCATCATATTCAAGTGTACTCCAGAGTTAGGGAGGTTTGTAACACTAAATATTAATAGAAATTTTTTTCATGGGGTGGGAGGGGGGGCAACCAAGTGTTTCTAGTCATACCTGATTCGACTATGTAAATGTAGATCAGGATAATATACCGGGAGATTGGTGAGGGTGGCATTAAACATAAATCTACCTTTATCTCTAGTGACGAATTTTATTTCTCAGCAAAAGACCTAAGGAGAGGCACACATTTTCAAGCTTAATCTCTGAAATAGCTTCTGACTGGTTTATAGTCCTAAGAGGAAGAGGGGGCAGAATTCCACCTTGAGGCTTTCTATTTTGTTCTATAATATTTAAAATTTACACAGGGAGGTTGATTCAAAGGTCAAATTACAGTCATCACAGGATCTTCCCTTTCAAGCATGCCCTGTTTTCCAGAATTCCGAGCCTTTTCTGTTACAGACAAGGGGTGCAAAGAACATAAGGATAGGATTGTTTAATTTTACCTAAAAGTGTTACCAGGAAGACATAATTACAGTTAAGTAGGTGTCAAGTTTTGCCTATAACCAAGCAAAAGAAAAGGTCATATTGTTAAAATCTCAAGTTATCCCAGTTTGAAGATGGAATTTTGTTTTCCCTCTCGTTTTCTTAGCTTATAAGAGCAATACACCTACCTTCAAGAAAAAATACAGTCTTTTATATTTGACCCACTGGAGAAGTAAAGAAACACAGGTTGAGGAAAATCTAACAAATAATAACTTTAAAAGAGCATTTCTTTTTGACTCTTAGATTCTAATCTTAAATCCCATACTTCATAACAAAAAAAGGAAACAGAAGTGTTAAATTACAGTGAGCCTGGCGTCAAGGCTTATTTCAGTATAATTCAGATCACCTACATTCTACAATTCTATTTCCAAGGCAAGCCATTAAAATTAAGATGCACACTCCACTGGGCTTTTTATACCTCTATAACTGACACTTCTTAAAAATTATGCTCTAAATAAATAATTTCTCTGAAAATTGAAAATCATTCAAAACTCTTCACCCCGTTTTAAAAAGCGAATCCAGATTCCCCACATTAATAGTTCAAGCTGAAGTTTTCTTCAGCTAAGATATGTCAATACTAAATCTGCAATCAGCAGTAAATCTTCCTGGCTAGGCATTTTCTCCGCAAGTTTTTCTTTTCCTTTTTTTTTTTTTTTTCCAGAGGCTCAAGCGAAAAAATATGTTTGCATACGTATTAATACAGCCATTCCTGTTCTTTTTCACTTGCGCCAGGGAAAAAAAAAAGGAAAGCTATTGGAGGCATTGTATTTTTTCTTCCCCCCCCCCTTTTTTTTTTTTGCATAAAGAAAGAAGCAAAAGAATTGTCTTGCCACCACCCTTCACCATTTATTTATTCTGCCAGGAAATAAGCCACAACACCTGCTCTGTCACTAAATTCCTCCTGCGGCTCTAACACCACCGGAACACGTATGTGGAGATGCAGAGCTCAAGGAACTATTATTAGATCCTGAGCCCATCTCTGCCAGAACAGAGGACTCAAACAGAGAAGCTGGTTTAAAAGCACAATTTCTCCTCAGTACAAACACAACCCCCCACCCCACCCCCTATTCATTTGAATGCTCTCTATTGCATTAAAACTCTTTCTCGATCAACAATTGAGCAGACTCTATGCGGTATCTGCAGGTCTCTCAAGCGGAGGAAAAATAACTCCTTGTTTGAACAACCTGATTAATGAAACCTGTACAGTGACCTAGCTCACCGGGCTACTGGCGGACATTTGCAAAACCTTTTGTGGTCTTGCTTCCTACTAAGTTGCTTAGAGCATATGGGGAAATTTGACCTCTGTACCTTGGCTGTTTTTCAAAAAGTTCTAATATGGTACAAGAGAGTGTCTGTTCTTTAAGCTTTGCCCACAAATAGATACTCCACGCTTGATTTTTCAAGATGAGATCAATGATAAGCAAGAACATCATAGAAACAAGTCAGAAAAATAAGAACACGTTGATGAAAACTTGTACCTCTGCCTTGTGGCTGCTGAAATCCTGGTGGCGGTATTTTTGCGGGAGCTGATAAAGACGTTACATCTGTGGATGGGTCTTGAAGGACAGTTACCTAATCACCACTGTTTATGGGGTGCTAGGCTAGAGCACTAGTACCAGAAGGCTGACATCTATTGTGAAGTTTATGGTCTCCGTGACTTTTACTACTGTAAACGCCTGGGATAGCTATAAATTGATGTCAACATTAAAGGCCAGATCCTTTAGAGCAAAATATTAATCCACTAATCTATTATGGATGGCCGGCTTTGAAATATAAACTTTGCAGTCCCAGACCATTAGGTGTTTTCGCCCCCTTGTGGAATTTATTTAGAAGGTCAAAAGAAAGCCATTTGCTTAAGAGGGGTTTTTTGTTGTTGTTTTATTATTTGTTTGTTTACCTTTTCTGAATGCTTCGTTTTCTTTCTAGAAGCAAACAGCATATATTTGAGCAACAAATTTTTTATCAAAAAGATTTCAAAGTAGACACCCTTTATGAAAATAAGAGTATTTTGCTTACATGAGACCTTAACTTAGGACAAGTGTACGTAATTGAGATTTGCCTCATATTTCAAAAGATGTATCGGCTAAGGGATTTTCTTTTGTTAACAGTATCATGAGCAATGCTACAGCCTGTCAGCTAAAACTGATACTCTGCACTCTCACAACAGAACTGTTGTTTTGGGGCAAGTGTAAATAATAATGCATTCGACGGCTGGCGAGTGTTTGGAAAGGTGGAGGGAAATATCTAGGAATGCAGAACGCGGTTATCTATGTTGGAATGTGACCAAGCCACAGGCTCTAATCTTGTGAAAGGGCCACAGGATGTTTAAAGGGAATGAGTGTTGCTGTCTAATTGATTCAGTGAAATTTACTTTAAAATAAGCTTGGCAGATAACATTGTCTCCAAAGAAATAAATAAATTTAGAATTCAAGGAATTCAGGACCCAAGCCATTGGCAATTTTCTCCTCTCCAACCGTATTGTTTTGCTAGCACAAAAGAGGTGTTACACAGCTTCAGAGATGGTATTTATCATTTTGGTACTGTACCACTATCATCAGAATCAGAGCTGCCAGGCAGGTTGGAGCAAGACAACAATGGGTGGCACATCAAGTGACTTAGCCAATGAACTCCTATTATCATGTGTTCTGTTTGTCTTTTCCCCCCAGAATAGAAGAAACAATGGCAATGTCAGAATTTTAATTGCAATGGACTGGCTTAAATTACTTGACCTATTTTTATCCAGCTAGGAGAGAAATGATTCTATTTTTTTTCTTGGTAGCAATACTTATCATTTAAATTGGGGAGAGAAATATAAGAACATTTCTCTGTCAAGTAGTGTACTGTCGATAAATAGTTTCCGTTTGCTTTGTAGTAAATAAGACTCACATATATTGTTGAAAAATTTTAAGACACCTGAAATGAACTCTTCCCCTTGTTGGAGAACTTAAAGTCATAAGGAATGCTAAATAACGAGTCGAAAATATTCTAAGAGCTGCTGGTGTGAATTCCCATAGTATTTTGATAGTTGTGAACATAATAAAAGAAAAGCTAGGAGAAATTGGTGTCTACAGTGTGAAGGAAATGAATCCATGGTTCTTGGGAAAGAGAATATCAACCAACATCTTCCTCACCATCTAGGAACAAATAATGGCTTTTTAGTGCCTGGATCCTTATCAGCTACTTCTTGCCCAAGACGAGCTTTGATGGTGTCAGAGCCAGCCCCAGGTGCCAGCTGGTGATCCTTTTTGAGAATTCTACTTAGCTAAACCAACACATGAAGAGTGAACTAAAGCAGAGGCAAGATGAATGAGTACTATTACTAGCTTCATATGTTGTTAGCTTTCATTAGGCTGAACTAATCTGAAAGATTAGTAAGGCAGGGCACCACGTGGGTGAGGACAGTAGT